CCCTCCTACACCCCAAACCTCTCATCCCCAGCCCCATCCCAGAGCCCACCTCTGCAGCCAGAGCCCTCACTCCCCGCTGTGTCCAAACGCCCTGCCCCAGCCCTGATCCCTCTTCCACCCTCCGAACTCCTTGGTCCCAGCCTGGAGCACCCTCCTGCACCCCAAACCCCTCAGCCCCACCCCAGAGCCCACACCCCAGCCAGAGCCCTAACCCCACCCCTGCACCGCAGCCCCCTGTCCCATCCCAGAGCCCCCTCCCACACCCTGAACTTGTCATTTCTGGCCCCACCCCAGAGCCCACACCCCCCGCACTGCTGTCCACCATACAATTTCCATTTCCAGATGTGGCCCTCAGGCCAAAAAGTTCGCTCATGCTGGTATATTTCAACCAGCCTTTAAAAAAGGGTGGGGGGTTTCCTGTTTTTCTCCCTTCCCACCCAACCCAGTGCCGCTTTTGTAAAAATCAAACTATTTGGGGGGCATTACACTGGTGCCTGTCCTCAAGCACCATCCAGGTTGATAGGGGACGGGGGGCTTTTCTGAAGTTGCAACCAGTGATTCCCAAGGATGTCTTCACAAAAGCTGCAGCACAAGACCTCTCGCCCATGCCATGGCCTTACTCACCACGCAGAACAACGTGATGCCACACAAGCAGCCCTGCTGGAAGACAGAGAGTGGAGCAATTTGCAGACAGTCACACATCACCTTGACACGGAGCTCTTCGATGTGCTCTTCTTCTTGCCCTGGTGTCTGGCTGCTCAAAATTGGTTGCTGGGCAATCTGCCTCTATCCTCTACCCCTCCAGAAACTTTTCTTCCTTTGTTTCACAGATATTATGGAACACACAGCGCACAGCAATAACAATGGGGATATTGCTTTAATTGAGGTCTAACCTAGTAAACAAACAATGCCAGCTGCCTTTTAAACGTCCAGAGGCACATTCCACCACCATTGTGCACTTGCTCAGCCTATGGCTTAAGCGGTCCTTACTGCTGTCCAGGCTGCCTGTGTCCGGCTTCATAAGCATGGGAGCAAGGGGTAGCCTGGGTCTCCCAGGGTCATGATTGGCATTTCAACATCACCAATGGTTATTTTGCAGTCTGGAAAAAAAGTCCCTGCTTGCAGCTTTCTGAACAGACTGGAGTTCCTAAAGATGTGTGCGTCATGCACCTTTCCCGACCATCCCCCGTTGATATCATTGAAGCAGCCTCTGTGATCCGCTGGCGCTTGCAACACCATTGAGAAGTACTCCTTTCAGTTTATGTACTCTTTGGCAAGGTGGTCTGGTGCCAATATAGGTATATGCATTCCGTCTATAGCCCCACCACAGTTAGGGGGTCCATGTTTACCGTGCTATGGGATCTGCGTGGGTAACCTAGGCTTACAAAAAAAGGCTTGGTTTGTTTGCCGTTGATTTCAGGGACGGGAGGAGGGAAGTGCATCATGGGAGGCTAACGCCATGTTCCCATAACCCCCGGTGCAAATGTTTTGGTCCCATGAGGCATTGCAAGCCCAACCCAAAATTCCACTTGACTCCATGCACAGTGCAGCACTCCGTGCATTGGTGCAAGCCCTGCCTGTGAGGATGCACTCCGCCAACACAATGAGCATAGTGGGGATATGCAATGTTAGGGAGCAGCAGCTGTCCATGGGGAAGATGGTGGAGGAGAGAGGGGGAGCTAAGCCATGCTCCCCCCATCCCAGGGTAATGCCTATTTGAAGATAACAACCTTCCACTGCTGTGAGTTAATGTAGTTAGTTCTGTAGCTCAAGTGGTAGCAGCCTGTACAGCTATGTAGCGGGGTAAGAGTTCAGAGGGGGTAGGTGTTAGTTATATAATAAAATGCCTTACATTTAAGAAAAAATACATGAGGACACTTCATACAATGAGTTGATTTTGGCTGCAAAGTCATATTGATTTTGGCTGCAAAGTCAAGCAGCTAAAAGTTAGGACATAGCAGAGATAAGGCAGCTCATACACAACAGCAGAGCTCAGAGAACAACCCACGCAGCCTCCCTGCCAGTCCTGTGCTGCACCCACAACATGCACAACTGCAACCCTGGAATCTAGTGCAGGGGGACGAGTAATCCCAGAATAGTAGAGACCGGGGTTCAGTTTTTCTCTCGGCCACATGGGAAGGGCTCTGAACAGTGACAACCCTGAGGCGTTCATGTTGTGCCATTTGAATTTTCGGTTCATTGGGCCAAAGCAAGAGCTCATTATGGGGAGCCCTTTATAGGGCAGTGGTTCGGGTGCTTTCCTGGGCTGTTAGCAGTCCTGGTTCAATTCTCCTGTCTGCTAGTTAGTGCAGCAGCCTTTGAACAGGGAGCTGCTCTGGCTTGCCTGTTGAAGCTGTTCTCCTTTACTTAACTAGGAATTGGGGCAGGTAAAGGGCTAGGATCACTCAATAGTCCAGCAGTTGGGTGCTTGCTTAAGAAATGAGATTTCCTGGTTCAAATCCTCCCTGTGCACCTTTAGAAGAGGTTTAAAAGGGGAAATGCCAAGGTGGCAGATTCCTGTTTAGGTCCCCTCTGCTTTGCGGGAGCCCTTGTATTCCTGGGAAAAGGAGGGGTCTCAGACAGGGGTCTCTCAACTCTGGGGGGGGGGAGCCCTGTTCCAATCCCTTCACAGAGGGGGGATTGGAACTGGGATCGCCCACCGTCTGGGCAGGTAGCTGGCTGCGGGGGGGCAAAAGAGTGATTGGCATTTTATTAAAAGTGCCCAGAATGGCAAATACTTTTCCAAAACCCTTCACCTCAGCAGGCACAGAGGGGACTAGAACTCACAGGTTAACAGCCCAGGTGAACACCCAAAGCCCTGTGGTGTGGAGGAGGCTTCCCACTCTTAATACTTGCTTGGACCTAATCAATAGTTAATTAAGGGGGCTCAGTTTTAACAGGCAAGTCTAAGGGCACATGCTGTTCTAAGGTGACCCAGGGTCTCCCCTGTTCCAGGTACTTACCCTAGCCCCTATGCTACAGTGGACTTCTTGTTTCAGACTCTAATTAACTAGTGATTGAGTCAAAGCAAAAGTAGAACAGCTTCAACAGAAAAGAGTGGGGTGCCCACTGTTTTAATCCAGCCCACAGAAAACTTGAACCAGGGTCTCTAACAACCCAGGGTGCTTAACTGAGCTACCGTGCTCTTGACTTGTATTTGGGCCCAATCAATAGTTAATTAAAGTGGAACAACTTCAACAGGCAGGACTAAGGGAGCCCCACCTGAGAATACCTCAAAGCCCAGCCCTTAGCACATTCACTTGAGATATAGAACTCTGCTTCAATCCCTTCGCAGCAAAGAGGAGGAGGATTGAACCAAACTCTCCCCTAGTTTGGGACAGGGAACTTTGCTCTGCAGGGCTGTTAACCTGGCATCATTCAGTAACACTGAATTCCGATTACAATTTTAAAGTTAAAATTTAAGGCTCCCCCTTGAGATATCACATAATTTCCTTGATAATAATTAACCTGAAACTAGATCTGTAAAGGAAACATCGAGTAAGTAAACAGCCTACAGCCACACTCACTCAGGCCCCAGGAAATACTCCGTGCATGTTATAGACATACAAAATGTGAACAAGTTTATAGGAAAACATGCCTAAGGTATTTAAGAAATAGAGTGACTGGTGTGAACATGTCCAAATACAAAATGATTGGGAGTAGTACTGCTGTGTCTCTTTTCTTAAGCTTTAGTGACCTTGGTTTTGAGTCAATACTGTTATCTTGTTTGACTTGAGCGGTTGGCTAAAATTTGGGGTCCTGTAGGTTGTTCCAAATGGGAGGAGAAATTAATGATGGAAGTCTGGTACCTTTGGTGCAATCTTGTTTATTTACAAAGAACGTACAAAGTCCTGTTTCCTTCAACCCAGGAGGAAGCAAACTGTGTGTGTCTTTCCTTTCTCGCAGAACCAAGCAGAGTACCCCCAAAACCTCCATTTTCTCAGCTTTTCTCAGTGTTGTGTTACCAACTGATACTGCTTGTACAGGCTGTCTTGGTTTCTGCTCTGTCTCTCCCTTTGTGCTGTGTTTCTCATACACATCCATAGACAAAACAGTATGTAGTAAAGTCCCTCTGTCCAGAATGCTAACATTCGGGATGCATAGTTCTTAGTTTTCGGCAGCGAGATGTGCTTACCTGCTTCGCGGCTTTCTTAAGTGAAGGGTGGTGGTGAATTCTAACAGTATAATTTCACAATAGCCCAAGCTGAACAGGAAAATCCTTTTGCAGAATCTCATCCTGCAAGGTACTAAGCACTGTCCACTCCTTGTAGCAGAGGGTGCTCAGCACACTTGC